AAATAAATAAATAAATAAATTATATGTGTGGATTCAGGGAAAAAAAAAAAAAGAAAGGGTGCCTGTGAGCATTGCAGTCACCCCTAGAACATGCTCTATTTTTAACTCTCTCCCCCTGACCCCTTGATTGTAAACATCATGGGACAATGGAGGATAGTACTTGGCTCAAAATGTTTGGAAAGGGAGGGTTTGGATCAAACGCTGGATCTGATGGTTTCCTAAATTCACCTTGCAAGTATTTGAGAAATAAATGTCAGTCTCTGAGAATCAAGAGACAGGAGTTGAATCTAGCTGGGTTTGTTCCCACACCTGAAATGCTCAGCTGGGTGAATTTACCCACACCTTGCCATCACTGGTATGGTGTGGGAATATGCATTGTACCCTGATTAACGCATAATTAGCAAGCAGCAGGAATCATGCTCTCTAAGAGAGCTCATCCTACTTCCTGTTTAACTTGTATAATTACCCACATCGCAGACACTGAAATGACATGGATGACAGACTCTCAGAATGGATAAAGCCAGAGAAGACTTTGGAAATCATTAACACTCTCATTTTATGGAAGGGGAAACTGAGGCCCAAGGAGAGAATAAGTGCTTTCAAGAGCCAAAACCAAACTCAGTGTCCCGCCCCTGAGAGCAGCCCCCATCATACTGCAGTGAGGGCAGCATCATCCAACCCAAGTAAAACCAGTTTCTGCTACTGGAACTCCAGGCATGGCCAACAGAGTTGCCTTCACACAACCCTGACTGTTTCCAGAGTAGAAAATGCAATTTTAGTAAAACTGATTGCTGCTCCCTGCAGCTGTTCATTTCTTAGCTTCCCCCCGCCTCCATCTTGTTCTGCCCACATTCCAGAACAGGCCCTTAACCAGGATAAAGAGGCTTGAGCAGCAGGAAGGAGGAACCAAACAGGCAGTAGAAATTTCTGCTAGGTCATTAGTGGTCCCTAGCCACTGGCTGGATTTAGAACATGACTTTAAGTGTCAGGGCGGAAATAACAAAAACACCATGGAGACGGCTCCCTTTTTGCAATTACTGGGACACGCCACGCCACAGAATGGAAGGGTCATGCTCCCTGAACTCATTTTAGGTTAGTTGTTTGGAACTTGGGTAACATATCTTTGAGAGGAAAATGGATTCTATGATGGGTTCCCAGTCTAGTCTATTTAACTGATATTATAACTGACCTCTGGGTCCCAGAGCCTGGAAGCCAGGATCATTAAGGTCCAGGAAGGGGAGGTTTCCATGTCCATGGCATCCTCTGCTTCCTCCAATCCCTCCTCCAAATCCTCACAGTGGCTCTGAGCCCCCAAGCTTACCCAGATACTGGAGTACTCCAGGTTTTGACAGCTGCCCGCCTTCCCTTTGGTCTCTCAGGGAAGCTGCTATCAACCCAGATTGTGGAGTAATGGGTAATCTGCTAGAACTAATCCACATGCATGTGTGGATGACTAACAGTCCTTGAACCAGTGGCTCTGATATGTCATTTGGCTTAAGAAAATGCAGGCTCGGGGCGCCTGGGTGGCTTAGTCGGTTAAGCGTCCAACTTTCACTTAGGTCATGATCTCGCGGTTCGTGGGTTCGAGCCCCACGTCGGGCTCTGTGCTGACTGCCAGCTCAGAGCTTGGAGCCTGTTTCAGAGTCTGTCACTCCCTCTCTCTCTGGTCCTCCCCTGCTCATGCTGTCTCTCTCTCTCTCTCTCTCCTAGAAATAAATAAAACATTAAAATTAAAAAAAAAAAAAAGGAAAAAAAAAGAAAATGCAGGCTCTCAGACCCAACCTTAGACGTATGGATTGAGCAGGGGCTAGAGTGGAGACTAGGGAATTTGTGTTTTTTAACAACAGTTCAACTGATTCTAAAGTTGGTGGTATATATACCATGGATAAATACTAGAATAGGTGAAGTGACAGGCATTTGTAATTTCAGGGTGATTTGCTCTTCACTGGGCAGGGAGAGTCACACAGAACAGAATCCAGGATTTGCAGGTTAAAAAAAAAAGTAAAAAAGAAAAAAAGCAAGCTTCTTCCTGGGTGAATTATCTCTGTCCTTCCATTTCATCTGCTGTGATATGGCATGGCTCAGCCATGAGAAAACTTGGACACTATTACAAGAAGGGAATTTGTTGTAGATTTCAAAAAGGCTTCCATTACTCATTCATGAGGCTTGAAAAGTTCTTTCCCATTTGGCCCCCACCTACCTATAACAAAATACTCTCACTTGTGGTATTCAATCCCCTCTTGACATACAGTATCACAGAGAGATTAAAAGCCCAGCCTGTAACACTCAACACCATCAGTCATTCAGTAAATGCATATCAAACCCAGTGAGATGCCAGTGCACATCCACTAAGTTGGCCATAATCAAAAAAAGGGAAGATAACAAGTATTGGTGAGGATGTAGAGAAATTGGAACTCCTGAGAGTTCCAACTCCTAGAGAAATTGCTAGTGGAAGTGTAAAATTGTACAGCCACTATGGAAAATGGTTTGTCAGTTCCTCAAAAAGTTAAAGTATCACCATATGACTGAAGTGTATACCCAAAAGAATTGAAAGCAGGGACTCAGATACTTGTACATGAATGTTCATAGCATTATTCACAGTAGCCAAACAACCTAGAAGCAACCTAAATGTCCACTAACTGATAGATGGATAAACACATTCTGGTCTATTCATACAATGGAATATTATTCAGCCATAAAAAAGAATGAAGCACAGATACATGCTACGACATGGATGAACCCAGAAAACATGTGGCTAAGTAAAAGAAGCCAGATACAAGATGTCACATATTGTGAGATTTCATTTATATGAAATATCCAGAATAGTTAAATCTATAGAGACAGAAAGCAGATTAATGGTCAATAGGGGAATGGAGGTCTGGGGAATGACTGCTAATGGGTACAGTCTTCTTTTGGGGTGATGAAAATACCTTGGGGCTAGAAAGAGGTGATTATTGTACAATATTGTGACTATACCAAGTGCCACAGAATTGTACATTTTAAAATGTTAATGGTTACATTTATGTTTTGTAAATTTTGCCTATTAAAAAAAAAGCACAGGCTGTAACCAGACCTCCTGAGTTCAAAGCCCAGTACTGCTACATGATCTTGAGCAAACTCTGTGCCTGTCTCCCTGTAAAGGGGGAAGTCTCTAAAGGAAAGGCTATATATAACAGTAGCCACCTTGCAGGGTTGTTGGGAGCATTAGATGGGTAATTGTCCCTATAACTTAGAAAGGTGTCAGTTTATGGCAGGACAGTAAATATGTGCCATGATTTCATCACACAAACACTATCCACTATTAATCAGGCAAACCAAGGCCAGGAAGGTTAAGGAGCTTGTTCAAATTCACATAACAAGTTCAGAAGCCAACTCAGAGTTGGCACCCAGCTCTCTTTGGACTCTAGGTCCACGCTCTTCCTCTATTGACCATCCGATTTTATCCCTGACCAGGAATCCCAGTCCCTGACAGCAGTGCAATTTTTGCCCAGTGACCCCAAGCATGGTCTACCTACAAGTCAGGAATGATAAAGCAACAACCAGTTTTGCTTCTCCCCAGTTGAAAGCCTTGGCAATTCTAAGAGGACTTTACCCACCACAGTTTGGCAATGACTGAGCCAGCGGAAAATTTTCCCTTCTCAATTCCTGTGACCATCAAGCTCTAGTCAGAAAATGCCCTGCCTTTATTTACCTTGAAAATAGGAGAATCATCACTATCTTATTACAATCAGTAGGGTCACCCAGAGGATTCTCTTCCAGCAGGTAGGGGAGTGGACACTCAGCTGTTCCCTGGGTCTTTTGGTTCAGTCTTTAGACTGCCCCCCCAATATGCACTCTCCTTTTCCCCAGTACAATGTAAGATCATGGGTATTTTCTATATCTGGTTCAATTCTTACGTTTTCAAAAATAATCTAGGTTACTCACATTCCCCAACATCCACTTTCCTTCCTTAAGTAGAGAGAAATAAGTCTATACCCATCTATGTCTAGAAATCCTTCTTGATTCCATTGTTTTCAACAAACAATACAGCCAATGGGAGTCCTAGGAAAAACCAGTTTGCCAAGAATTGGGCCTACTGGATGTTCAATATTGAATCAGACCATCACAAGCAGAAGATAAGGAACATCATCCCATAGGAAATATCCAAATCCCAGGCTCTTCTGGACACAGAATAACCTGAATAACTTGGCCTCCCCATGCCTTCCCTCCTCCCCCACCAGTTTCCACAGCCCACCTCAGCTTCTCTACGACTGTGTGGTCTGTTCCAGGGAGCAGATCCAATCTGGCAGGTGTGAGATTCAATTAGCGCTTTCTTTATGGCTACCAATGTTTGCACCTCCAGAAAACCAAATCTGAAGCCCCAGGGTGGCCACCCAGAGTGACAGTCCCCCAGAAGAAGGCCAACCAGAAGGATGTTGGAGGAGGTTTTAAGATCACTTTGATACCCTGGCAGTATCCATTTATAGAACTTATCAGTACCTTCCCTCCTTCATTCCCAAGGTCGCTGGATTGAAGATCACGGAGTCATTCACAACATGATGTTTAACACGGAGACACGCTGGAAGTTCTCCTTCAAGGCCACACAGAATAAGACTGAATGGTGGGACAATGGTGTTCTCCCCCTCTGGATCACAGCCCAGAGACAGGTACTTTCAGAAATCCTGCGTTGGCTTCCAGGGACATCGCATCTCATTCCTAAGCACGTGGGACAGGGGTTAGAAGTTATGACCTTGAGTACGTGACTTAACTTCTCTAAGCATGTTTCCCTAAATGTGTAATAAGAATAATGATGATGTGGGGCGCCTGGGTGGCTTAGTCGGTTAAGCGTCCGACTCTCGCTTAGGTCATAATCTCGCGGTTTGTGGGTTCGAGCCCCGCGTCGGGCTCTGTGCTGACTGCCAGCTCAGAGCCTGGAGCCTGTTTCAGTCTGTGACTCCCTCTCTCTCTGACCCTCCCCTGCTCACACTGTCTCTCGCTCTCTCTCTCTCCTAGAAATAAATAAAAATATTTTTTAAAAAATAAATAAATAAAAAAGAATAATGATGATGTGCCTATTTAATATATCTGATGTAAGTATTAAATTAAATATGCATTTAGCCATTAGTGATGGGTAAGTCTCTATGAGGGAAGAGTCTGGCTTACTCATGAGTGTACCTCCAGGACTCACCATAGGGTCTGAACCCAGCAGTACTTTCATAAATATCTGTTTATATACTCGTCTCAGACTTCAGCATAAAAGCCCTTAGGAATGAAGTTGACCATTTAATGGATCTTCAGACCATGAAAAGTTCTTAAGAGAACATTCACTTGAAAGGATTCCAGTAGCCATTTATTATTGCTTCAAAAAGGCAGAATCATGGTTTGCCTCCCTCCCTCTTTGTAACTATTTTTCCCCTTCCCCTCCCCCATGATCTTCTGTTAAGTTTCTCCTGATCCATATATGAATGAAAACATATGGTATCTGGCTTTCTCTGCCTGACTTATTTCATTTAGCATAACACCCTCCAGTTCCATCCACATTGCTACAAACAGCCAGATTTCATTCTTTCTCATTGCCGTGTAGTATTCCATTGTATTTATAAACCACATCTTCTTGATCTAGAGACTCTTAAATACTGAGAACAAACTGAGGGTTGATGGGGGTGAGGGAGAAGTGAAAATGGGTGATGAGCATCGAGGAAGGTACTTGTCGGGATGTGCACTGGGTGTTATATGAAAACCAACTTGACAATAAACTATATATTTTTCTTAAAAAGGCAGAAATCAGAGCTGTGTATTTAAGTCCTAGCCCCAAATCTTTTGTCTGCTTTGTGTTTTCTTAATAAGCTTCCACAGTCATCACCAGAGTAGGACCTCCTCCTTGTCTTCCCCAAGACACCAACCTTTGCCCCAAAAATCCCCTTGGCACTGGCACTTCACCACTATGCTCCAAGGTACCCTGGGTGTGCCATGTTTCAAGATGGGGCTCTTGCAGCTCAGAATGCAGGCTGTGGACTTGGACTCCTGGAACAGGATCCAGCCAGCTCCACCTTTCTCCAGCTGCGTGAACTTGGGCAACAACCTCCTCTCAGTGTGTGATTTGGCCCACTCATAAAATGAAGATTGTCCAAGTCCCTGCTTCTTGAAGACTATCAGAGTCCCTGCTTTTTAGGCCCATTGGGAGGGTTAACTGAGATAGTGCATGTAATGTCTTGAAAACTAAATGTTCAAATACTATCAGTCATTAAAGGAAGTTGAATTATTTTAGGACTTCATCTGGTCACTACAGCTCTAAGCCAGAACTACCCAAAGGAACTTTCATTGATGATGGACATGTTCTACTGTGTACTTTCCAAAACAGAAGCCACCGGCCATGTGTGGTTATTAAGCTCTTGAAATGTGGCTAGTAAGACTCAGGAACCAACTTTTTAATTGCACTTAATTTTAATTAATTTCAACTTAAATCTAATACTACATGTGGCTAAGGGCTACTATATTGGACAATGTAGCTCTAGATGAATCACAGGAAGTTGTCAATGACTCTACCTCAGCTTCATTTTCCCCCTGACCCATGGGCTCTAGATTCCTTCCCCTTCTGTCACATTTTTTAACTTTGATGCAGAGACCATGCAAATAAATTCTGTCCTCTCAAGAAAAAAACATTCATAAAACTACATGTCTAGTACTTTACATTTATTAATTTATAACAGCTCTTTGGTGGTGCTACAATTATGCCCACTTAACAGATGAGAAAACTGAGGCACACAGCAATGCCATAACTTCTCAAAGTCACAAAGCTTGCAAAAGGCAAAGCTGAGATTTGAACTTACTCTGAGTTCATCAACTCTTAACTCTTAACCATAACATAATATTACTTCATTGGCCAAAACATTTAGCCATGGATTTGACAGTGAATCTTATATTTTGCCTTGCTGCTAGGGAGGTCTGGGCAGTCTTCAACAATTCACTATTCAGGGTGCCTGGGTGATTCAGTCAGTTAAGTGTCCAACTTCGGCTCAGGTCATGATCTCATGCTTCGTGAGTTCGAGCCCCACATTGGGCTCTGTACTGACAGCTCAGAGCCTGGACCTGCTTCAGATTCTGTCTCACTCTCTCTAAGCCTCCCCCACTCACGTGCACTCTCTCTCTCTCGCTTCCTCAGAAATAAACATTAAAAAATTTTTAAAAAAGAAACGTTAATTCACTATTCAACTTGCTATGCTATTTGTTCATTGGCATGAGGCTTCTGGTAGCACTCCTTCCTGTAGTTTTTCTTATTCACAGTTCTTGTCCCATTGCAATTTATTTTCAGAACTTCGTTTCCTTCTGCTCAACTCATAATCAGAGTGTTCTTCCCCTTTGCTGAATTCATAAGTGGTTGTGCAGAAACAAGATCTGGTTCAGGGCCAGGCAACTGAAAACATGCCATTCATTTGGCAAGTCAGGTTGGTGTATCTCTCATTCTACCAGTGACATCTCCTGCCAAGGGACAGGGCCATTGGCCAACAGCCTGAGGAGATAACAGAAAAGCCACTGCAATCAAAGCAAACCTGTGGCCCCAGGTCAGCCCAACTGGCCCTAAATGTCATTCAGGAGCCCATATGTATTGCCAAGCAGGGCTATAGAGGGGGTAGCCTGGCCTGTATCCATCACTAGGAAAATCCATCCTTCTCCTGAGTCTCTTCAAGGCTGGCTTTGTGGAGACTGATGCATTCACCTTTAATAGGACTAAAATGTTTTCCTTCCATGACACTAATGCTGCCAGAGTCCATCAAGATACACAAGAATTGACATGCCTTACAGATGATGCCTAAAAGATGGGATTCCCTGGCCACCTTTGGGTCCATTATTCATGGTCCATGAGCATATCCACACTCCAGCAGGACTTCACTAATGGTTAGGGTATGAAAGGAAAGGCTTTATTTAGAGCAAGCTCAGATTTCAAATGAGCATCCCTGATAAATGAACATGACTAACAGCTGAAGTGGTTCACCATGTTCAGAAGTCCTAATCCTCAGAGAAAGGCAGGCAGGCATGACTATAAGACCCAGGAAAACCATAAAAACCTAGAGGCACATTTCACCTTTCTATGGAGGAGCTATAGAGTATATTAAGGAGTGAAATGGCAGGGGATGATCTGACTGAGATCCCCATGGCTGCCAAGAGTCTGTATCAGGACCATGGTAGGCTACTACCGGGGGGGTGGGAGTGGGGGGGATTCAGAGAGATGGTGGGGTGAGTGGCTATGGTTTCCAATGTAAGACAAGTCTCCTAGACAATAGCTTCCAAACTTGGAAGAGATGTGAGCAAGATGGTGCCAGCTGGTTCTGCTTAGAGTGTTAATAACAAGATAATTCATCCCAATATTGGCCCAAACCATGTTTTTATAATGCATCATAAAGGCTCTAAAAATAATAATCTGACCTCCAAAAGGGCGTGGGATGGAGAGGAAATAGAATCTTGGCCGTCTGGCTCCTCATGTTCAGTGACTTCTCTGGAGCACAGGAAAGCAATGAAAACGCTCAGACATCTGAATTTCACATACATAGAGTCCATCTCTTTCCACCCAGTCACTCCCTAGAAGGAGGAACTAACTCCTTTCCTAAACCACACATACTTCCCACCAAAGCACAACCATAATAAAATGTTCAAGGGCCTTCCTAAAACATGTGCACCTTGTGACATTCACTCTGTCATCTAAAGGAAGAAACAAGACAAAATACAAAACCAAACTGAAACTTCTGCTCTAATGATTAGTTCTGAAGAGTTTGGGGGGATCTGTACAAAACCCAAGGATTTTTCCCATAGGAAGTACCAACTCTTGTTTTAAAAAAGCAACTTAAGAATAATAGCCACATTGATGCAAAACTACACTAAGAGAGAATAATGAACCTAATAAAACCAGCAATTTTCCAATTGCTATTGCTACTGGAAACACTGATTATGCTAATTAAAGGGTAGAATAGTAAATACCCACTCTTTTGCATCCAATTAAGTGCTCAGATTATTTCTCAGAAGTATTTGTTGAAAACAGCATTTTTTATTATCACGGGTCCCAAATAAACAGAGTGTGTGTGTGTGTGTGTGTGTGTATGTGTGTGTGTGTGTGTGTGTGTATACACACTCAAATACACATTTCTCTCTGGAGCTCTTTTCATGGAGTAGTGTAACTCTTAAAATTCCTATGGGACCAAGTTAAAAAGATATATCATTGTTTCTTAAGACTACAGCTTGGGATATCTTTAGAGAAGGTGTATGTTGAGAACACCATAAGAAAACAGTTTCAAGTTGGGAACATCTGAGATTTAACATGCAAACACCAAGAACTCAACTGTATAGGCAGGGCTGCCTAAGTCCCTCATAAAGTCAATGTCAGCTTATTCTAGATAATAAAATAGCCAAACTATGTTATACAAAACGTTGAAAGTTTTATCCTTCCAGCCAATTCCATTCTTCAGAGCAAAGTCAATTTATATGTAAGTTAAACAAAGTACCATCGCTAAAAACTGAGAATTATGAGTAATGCCAATCAGAAATGCAATAAATAAATATTAGAGGATTTGCAAGTTAAAGCAACCATATAAATTCTATTATCAGAAATGAAAATGTGTTGCCTGAAGAGATTACAAATAAGATGCTAGAACCTAAAAAAGAAAGAGCTTCTGTAACTATTTCCATAAGTTAATCAGGAGTGAGAATAGGATGGGTTTTGCACCCACAAAAGGAGATGCAATTCATGCATTCATTCAACATGCATCTAACCAATAATTACCACCTACTCTGAACCAGGCCTGTTCTAGGTCCCAGGAAGAGTGGACAACAAAATAAGCATGGCCCCTGATCTCACGGAACGCACATTCTAAGGGAGGGAAATAGATAGTAAACAAGTAAACAAAGTAAGATAATTTCAGATTGAGTAAAGTGCTTTAGAAAAAATAAAACTAAATCACATGATAGAAAATGAATGCTGGAGGGCAGAGGGCACAACATTTCACCTATAACTATGGATTGCAAAGCTTCTGGAGGCTTGCAAAGAATTTAGTATTAAGAATTCTGCCTTTTGGGGGCACCTGGGTGGCTCAAATGGTTGAGTGCCCAACTTTGTCTGGTCATGATCTCACGGTTCATGAGTTCAAGCCCCATATCAGACTCACTGCTGTCAGCCTGTCAGCGTGCAGCCTGCTTCAGATTCTCTGTACCCCTCTCTGCCCTCCCCCAGTTGCGCTCCCCCTCCACAAAAAAAAAAAAAAAGAAGTCTGCTTTTTGTTTTTTAAGTAGGCTCATGCCCAGCATGGAGCCCAATGTGGGCCTTGAACTTATAACCCTGAGATCAAGACCTGAGCTGAGATCAAGAGTCAGACACTTAACCAACTAAGCCACACAGGCACACCTTAAGATTTCTGTCTTACTTCAAATTTCCTAAAAGTAGAACTTGAGGCAGGGATTTGGTGCATGTGAGGCATTGAGGGAGAGTTCTCAGGAGATGGGAGTAAGGGAAACTGACAAGGCAGGGTTTGAAAGAAGATAAATGAGATGTGTTCCCAGTTGGAGACCAGCTTTAGCCTCATCCCACAAGGAGCTCTGGCACATGAATTAAACCCCCATGTTATCCCGGCCTGAAGCCAGTAAGCTGGTCTTTTGTCCTCCCATCAGTCAATCACTGGCCAGAGGCAGCTGGGAGTGAAGGAGCAGTATGGAACACCTTCCAAGGTGAGATTTGGCCAAGATTTGACCATTGGCTGAAGGTAATTTTCCAGAACATGCGGCAGCTGAAGTGAATGTGAGTGCACCGGCCAAGTAAGGGGATTTGGGTAGAAAACCAACAGTGTCTCTCACAACTTCCAAATTGCTTTCCTGTTTCTCTCTCTCAAGAAGCATAAGGGAAGTTTTGTCATTACTCTCTATTACACTTTTCTGCTCATTTGTTAATCAAACAGCCACAACTCAGGTGCCATTATCCCGAAATTCTTCCTGGTCATTTATTCTCCATACCAAATCAACCTGTTACACCATTCTTGTTTCTACTAAAACCAACAAATCTATGTGTTTTTCAGAACACCCAAACCTTGGGTGATACAGCAAGTGCCACAATACAGCCTTCAAATCAATAGCTTTGCTGAGGCAAAGGAAAGTACTTGCTCCCCAGGTGAGCAAGTCATTCATTCCCTGAACCAAAAATCTATTGAGCCCCTACTATGTGCCATGTTCTGGTCGAGTAGCAGATTTGCAACACCGGGACTTATTTAGTGAGATATGTTCATCTCGTTGTTAACTCGTTAGTGAGCATATAGACTTTTTTTCCCTAACAATTTTCCCAAGCTTTGTCAACAGCCACCTTTCTGCTGAGGAAATTACTTGGGAATATTTCATGACTTTGCAAACACATGTGCTGTTAAAACAACATATTGAACCACTTCTGGTTCAAAGCTTTCCTCTAGCCCTTACTTCTCCTCCCCAGAAGTCCCAAAATCAAATCTCATTGGTTCTGACTGGGACATGGGCCCACAGCTTAACCAATTGCTGTGGACAGTGGATGCAGTGTCCTCTGATTGGCCAGGCCCACAGCCACATCCCACTTCTGGAGCCTGATGTGGAAGCAACACATCCCAAACCAGCCATGAAGCAAGGGCAGGAAGGAGAGTTTCCAGGGGAAGTAAGGGCTCTCTGAACCAGCAGAGGGATATGGGGTCCTAGGCAGACAAACTTCTTAACTGTCCACTATACACATCAGGGGAGGCTTTATGGTGATTTGCTATACCTGGAGGCAAAGAAAAGACTGCCTAGCACATACCAAGACACAATACTCAACACTTTATCTCAAAGTTATCTGGCTTAATCCTCACAAAAATACCATCAACTTTTTGGCATTTTACATGCTCTGAAGCATACAAGATTAAAGAACACACTCACCATCAGCAACTTAGAAAGTACCATTTTTCCTCCATTCCAAAGAACTTTTTTTTTTTTCATTTTGCCATCTCTGAAGTTGGAGTGCATCTTACAATCAGTGGAGTGTCATGGTTTAACTGGCAGCATTTTTCTTCTAGTAGCACATAAAATAATAACATGTCTTACAACTAACAGTGTTTTAGATTTGATGAGATCCTGGTGAAGCCAGGAATGAAGTCCAACCCCATCTGACTCCAAAGCTCACATGTTCTCTATGCCTCTGGACTAGGGCAGAGACGTCAACAAGTCAGGTTTTGCTTATTATGTGAAAGATATAAGATATAGCCCTGATACAGTTTTCTTCTTGTACTTGCAGGGGAGGAAGACAGCATCATTCCACTATCCTGGGGGAGGTGCAAAGTACAAAGGGGAGGCTGTTCAGCGGTCCCTGGTGGAGTCTTACAATCACCCAGACAGCAATGAGACAGAGTGGAGGGAGAACATCGATATTGTCATGAACTGGTTCACTAAGGAAGACTTTGACTTTGTGACTCTGTACTATGGAGAGCCAGATAACGTGGGACACAAATTTGGGCCTGAGACAAAGAACAGAAGGGTGATGATTCAGCAAATTGACAGAACCATTGGGTACCTAGTGGAAGCCATTGAGAGGCACAGCTTGACCAAGCACCTCAATGTCATCATCACATCAGACCATGGCATGACCACAGTAAAAAAGAGCCCCATTGTCACTGAGATCCTCTTGTCAAACTACATTAATTTCACAGCCTTGGTCAAGTTTGATATCGTGGACTACGGTGGCTTTGGGATGATCCTGCCCAAACCAGGGCAAGAGGAAGATGTTTACCAAGGACTGAAGAATGCACACCCTTACCTCAATGTGTACAAGAAGGAGGAATTCCCAGAACGCTTCCATTTTGCTAAACATGAGCGGGTCCTGCCAATTGTGATGTACGCTCACTCTGGTTATAACATCAATGGGGTGAGTTGATTCTAAAATGAATAAAGTCACCTTGCATCTAGGAGACAGCCTCTAGAGAGAAACGATTCTGAAAAAAAATTAAAACATAAGTTGTAATCCACTGATCTCTAAGTGTTCCCCATCCCTTCACCCCACGTCCCACCCAACCAACCCTGTCCCATGTTACTGCTATGCAATTATAATGACAAACATCCCTGACCAAGGCTCTGTCCATCACTGTACTAAAAATTTAACACTAGTTGTTTCATTTTTGTCTTCCCATCAACCCTAAAAATAAATACTCTTATCTCCCCTGTTTCATTTAATGAGGAATAAGCCAAAGCTAGAGACAAGTGATTCCGGATTAGAAGTATAAGACTACCGTTTGAACCCAAGCCTGTGTGCTTGCTTGATTACTATGCACAGATCACCAGTAGATTCACCAATAATAACCATGTGCTGGCTCCCCTTTACACATATCAAGAAGGAAAAGGAGAAAGAGAGGGAAAGGGACAGGGAGAGGGAAATGAGGGGGGCAAGTAGGGAGGTAGGAGAAAAAGAAGGAAGAGGAGGAGAAGGAAGAGGAGGAAGGGGAGGGGGAGGAGAAGAAGAAGAAGAAACCCTATTCATACACAAAAAAAATTATAAACAAATGCTCACAACAGCATTATTCATAATAATCAAAAAGTGAAAACAAACCAATTGCCCATCAACTGATGAATGGATAAACAAAATATGGTATATCCATACAATGGAATATTATGTTGCCATTAAAAGGAACAAGGTATTGATATACACTACAACTTTAATGAACCTTGAGAACACCATGTTCACTGAAAAAAAGTAGATACAAAGGACTATGTATGATTCTATTTAAATGAAATGTTCAGCATAAGGAAATCTATAGAAACAGAACACAGACTGGTGGCTGTCTAGGTTGGGGGAAGGGGAGAGATGTACGGAAGGCATGGGGAGCAACTGCTGAAGGGTACAGAGTTTCTTTTTGGGGTGATGAAAATTGATTGTGGTGATATTGCACAACTCTGTGAAAAAATTTAACATAATTGAATTGTACACTTTAAATGGGTACATTATATGGTAATTATACAATTATATCTCAACAAACAGTTATGAAAAAATAAGCAAGCCTAAAGAAGAAAATACCAAAATCAATGTTAACTGTGAGACATTTGTAAGGTGGTCTGGTTTTTGTTAACTATCAGCCAGTAATTCATGGCAGAACAAAATTTAGGTGATGTTTAAACATCTCATGACAGAAGATCATCCCAGACAGTTTGAAGAACTCTTTTCCTAAGCTATACACATGAGCCAAACATAATTATGTTTGCAATCTGTTCAGAGTACAACAGGTATAGGAAAATTCATAAGGTTATTGTTTAACGTTGGTGGAAACAGTCACAGTAAAATGCAACAATTTCTTGATATTTTGCAATCCCTCACATGATCCAGAACACTGAGGATGCATGCCCAAAGCTAAGTTCTTGTCAAAGAGAGATTCCATAGCCAATGGCCTCTTTCTAAACCTGGTTCATGATGTAACAAGTTGAGAGTGATGTGAAGGACTTTAATGCAATAGTCACATTCCCAACATAACCAACCAGGTTTGAGGGAACAGGGAATCTTCTGAACTGACCATTAGACAGAAAATCGTTTGGGTCTCAGTGCCTCTCATTGACTACATTTCTCAGATCCCCATCCTCCTGCCTGCCTTGATGTACACAGTGAAGTGGGTGTTATTCTTCTCTCTTTAGGATTAAGGAACTTGCAAAGCACCTGAGGCTATCCACATGAGGCTATCACCAGAGGCACTATGTCTGAGCTTATTATTATTGCCAGTATTATCTTCTTGCGGTGTCTAATGAGTATGCTTTGTTTATTCTTTCTTTTTTTTTTAATAATTTTTTTTTTTTTTTTTAATTCTCTTTCTTAAAGATCTTTCATTCCTTGCTCTTCTCTTTGGCACTGCAAAGCAGTGTCCTTCCTTGTCATTTAAATTTTCAAGGGTTCCATGATCTGACAAGCATGACAATAACTAAGGGATAGTTTTCTTTCAGGGGACTGGAATCTAAAATGGTTTTGTTATTATTATTTTTCAGCAATATATACTATATTTCAACAAAGGAGATCATGGCTTTGATAATGCCCTTATGGACATGAAGACCATATTCAGAGCTTTTGGGCCAGATTTCAAGAATCACCTAGCTGAGCCTTTTGACAGCATCCATATCTACCCACTCATGTGTAAGCTCCTGGGGGTTACCCCTGAACCCCATAATGGCTCCCTGGCAGTCACGGAGGAAATGCTTGTGGACTCATACAATGAGCAGCAGCCAGGTGAGATACAAGAGCAACCACCAGAAAATTGGCAGTGTGATCTGTTCTGTCCTGAGATAGAAAAGAATGAAAAAGAGGATGGGGCAAGGGAGTGAGGGGGCCAGTGGCAGAATTGAGCAGAATAATCCTGTTTCCCCAGCAGCTTTGGCACCTGCAGGGCAAGATAGCAGCAGCTCTAAGCAGGTAGCAAAGGAAGCAGGGAATCCCTCCACGTCCTGGTGACATTTCATACAGTGCCTCTGGGGCCAAAGAAAGGTTCTCCATGGAGAAAGTAAAGCAATAATACTTCTGATCCTTAGAAATCACATGCAATCTGCCCCCTGATGCCTCTTCTAGATACAGAAAAGCAGCCTTCCTTCAGCAATTCAGCCTTGCTAGTTCCTTGAAGAAAGCTGCTCATAGTGGAGGAAGCCTTACCACTCCACTCATTGCTGAAAAAAGAGGGAAAGGGATATTTCTGTAAATGGGGATGCTAATTCTTAAGAATTCAAAACCTTAAATCGGGGTGATATAAAGGAAGAATGGAATAGTCTCTGAAAATGAAGTTGTATGCAACCAGTGGCCAGCTTTTCTTCTGCCAGGAGAGACTTAGATGCTGCTCAGTGATTTATCATACTGAAAGCAACTACACTCAATCAAAACAGAGTATAAAGGACACCCTTTTCCCTTCTTCTAAGCCGTTGCACATAATTTCCTTGTGAATTTACAGGAAGCAAGCCATTTTGTAGGAAACTACTTAAATGAATGACTAACTCATCAAATTATTGAGGATTTTTAAGTTTTAGAGTTTTGCTATAACTATTTGGCCCCTACCTCTGTCACATAGCCCATTGGGAACCTGGGGTAAGGTGTCTGACTGTTGTCAGTTATTGATAAGGAGAATGTCCCCCCAACTGATTTTCAGCAAATTCGCTTTTAGCAAATTGGTCACTTGGCAAAGTGGTCATTAGGCAAATGGGTCATTTGGCGAATAGGTCATTTAGTAAATCGGCTTTCAATGACTTGCCCTATGAGGTTTCTCTAGTGAGCACTTTCTTGGGTTAAATGTACATTTCATTTCCATAATTAATATTCACCAGAGCCTAGATGGAAAACTTCCCAGGGACCCAGGAGCAGCCAGAACAGCCTCTTAATAATCAGACGATTAAAAACCATCTGATATTTTATCAGGAGCGGAGGAGACACAGAAGATATTCCCTCTCGAAAAGATAGCGTTTGGTCTCACAATTGTCACAGGAGTTCTTACAGTTCTGTTTGTTGCTAGCGTGATATACACAGCCATTTGTCGGAAAAAGAAGTGAGTATTCTTTGGGTTTCCCAGGGTTGATCAGTGTACATTATAATAATCCACTTTATCCACTTCCTGCATGCCAGAGGGGTTCCCGCACTTTGAGAACCCAGCAACCAGAGCCAGGTTCATGACTTGTAAAGTGAGCAGTCACTCAAGGCCTAGGGCTCAAAAGAGCCCCCAACTTGGTTTAATAATCTACTGTCACCATTTCAGAATTGTTAATTTTTTTTTTTATGTTTTATTTATTTCTAGGAGAGAGAGAGAGAGAGACAGCGTGAGCAGGGGAGGGTCAGAGAGAGAGGGAGTCACAGACTGAAACAGGCTCCAGGCTCTGAAACGGCAGTCAGCACAGAGCCCGACACAGGGCTCGAACCCATGAACCGCGAGATCATGACCTAAGCGAAAGTCGGACGCTTAACTGACTAAGCCACCCAGGCGCCCCCAGAATTGTTAATTTTTTTAATTTTACTTGAGAGAGAGAGAGAGAGAAAGAAAATCCCAAGCAGTCTCCATGCTCAGCACAGAGCGCAATTCAGGGCTCACTCTCACAACCCTAGAATCATGACTTGAGTCGGAATCAGAAGTCAGAAGCTCAATCAACTGAACCACTCATGTGCCTCAGAATTCTTTATTTTTTTAACAAGGACCCTGTATTTCCATTTTGTACTGGGCCTCCAAAATTAAATACCAGTTGTATTAGTTTTCCATGCCTGCCATAACAAAGTACCACAAAGTACCTGGCTTAAAACAATGGATATTTATTGTCTCACAGACCTGGAGGGTAAAGTCCAAAATCAAGGTGTTGGAAGGTCGAAGCTCCCTCTGAAATCTGTATGGGAGAATCCTTCCTTGCCTCTTCTAGCTTCTGGTGGTTGCTGACAATCATTGGTATTCCTTGGTTTACAGATACATCATTCCAGTCTCTGCCTCCAACATCACATGGCAATCTTCTCCCTGTGTCTCTGTCTTTACATGGTGTTCTCTTCTCTGGTGTCCATGACACCAGTCATGGGATTTAGGGCCCTCTGTAATCCAGGAGGACTTCACCTTAATTATATCTGCAAAGACTCTATTTCCAAATAAGATCACCAATACCATAATGTCCAAAGTACCAGGGACTCAGACATATTCTCTGGAGGGACAACCCATACCACTGGTTCTGCCACCAACTAAAGCAGTATAGAGCCCTGGTGCACCTCTTTCCTTTTTTTTTTTTTTTTTAATTTTTAATGTTTTATTTATTTCTAGGAGAGAGAGAGACAGCGTGAGCAGGGGAGGGTCAGAGAGAGAGGGAGTCACAGACTGAAACAGGCTCCAGGCTCCGAGCTGGCAGTCAGCACAGAGCCCGACGCGGGGCTCGAACCCACGAACCGCGAGATCGAGACCCAAGCGAAAGTCGGACGCTTAACCGACTAAGCCACCCAGGCGCCCCTTGGTGCACCTCTTTCTATATCTCAACAGTTATAACATTAGACTGAGCTTCCCATATTCCTTATTATACCCAACCCTGACCATTCTTTGGCTTTAACATAGCTCCTGTCTCAACAGAACGGAGGCCTCCCGAACACTATAAACTGCCTAAGGAAAGTCAGAACTTTACTTAACCTTAACTCCATTACAAAGCCCACATTTAATGTAATTTATATTTGAACTATAAAAATTTCCTATAAGTTGAAACATGACCTATAAAGGTCTCTACACCCTGAAGCAACATTTAAAAAAAAATCAATTGGTCCTTTTCTACAGAAACCATCAGCTATAGGAGAGATAAAGGAAAAACTTCAATGTACTGATTGAACTGCCAAGCCCACAGCATAATTTCTAAGACGCAACCATTCTGTACAGTTAAAATCCATTAGATGGTCATTGTTATTGTTGCCATTGTTGTTGTTGTTAAAAACCTCAAATCCAGAAGTTGAATCTTTAATATAACATGTGCACATACACATCCTCTCTTGCCACTGCCAGGACCGTGGGATGTGTCCTAATGCTTCTCTCCATAAAAACACTCCCTGGAAGTTTTACTTTTTGTAGTACCTAATCTTCATTTACACCTGAACACACACCTGTGAGGTCCCTGGACTCTGAAAATCCCTTCAGATCTGAGATATGTGACCTTATGACCTTTGTCCCTCCCTAGAGCCTGCACACCAAAATAAAGGTTTCTTCTGTGCTATAGACCACTCGGGGTCCTTTCCCAAACTACATCCCATCTGGCATAAGGAAAGGCTGAACCTGCCTAGATTTATTAATATCTTCATATAACATCATACAGTATTACTTATTATGGCACTGACTGTACATGCCCTTTTGCTCCTCAGAAGAAACGCAATTAATAGCTACTTTGTGTGTTAACAGAATAAGCCTAGTATTTATGAGTTTGACCCTTTCCCATTGGTTTTCATTGTCTACTGCAGGCAGAGAACTGAGCAAAAGAGCAAAAGTGGACCAATCGGCCTGGCCCAGTTCTGAAGCATCATTCCCTTAGGATCAAGACTCGGCCCTGGTTAAGGCTCATCATATCTCAGATGATTCTACCTCAGGTTATTGTGACTAAGAGGATTTCTGCAACATCAGACCCAGGAACCATTAATTCCATGTAAAAACACAGCAATAATCACAGTCCACCCTCTTTATTTAAATCAATGGTGTCAAGAGAATAAAAGACAAACCATTCTTGTGTGGGATTCTGTGCTCACTTGGTACTGGTGGAAAAACAACAGATATGAGAATAAATGCATTCGATTAGAATTAATTCTCCTCTCTTGTTCTCATAGCTGAGAGGGCTCAGTGTTTCTCGTGTGAAAGGGGTAATAACATTTAATCTGTCCCCTCATCTACCTTCTGCAAGTATATTTAGCAAATTAGCTCTCAAGACTCTTCCAAATGGAGTTTTATGAGAGATGTGCTGAAGTAAATGTGTTAGACTTTGAACACAGTTCAAACTCCAGAGGCAGCGCCGGTGGGTTGCTGTCTATCCTGCCTTTCACTCAAGACATAATAACGTCTAATGGAAATAATAACTTTTTTCTTTTCTTCCCCATCCCCCACCACCCCCAGGAGCTCTCTTACTCTTCAGCTTCCTTTCCCTACAAAGTCAAAACTCCCACCTTTGTAAGTCATCCTAGTTCCGGGAGTTCGCCGGCAAGCTTGCTTCACGCTGAAGGGCGGGGACACGCCTGGGTTTCCCTCACGGTCGCGCCTGACAGGACCGGCCACGCAGGTGGCACGTAATAAGTGTTTGGTGAAGACCAGGCTGGTTTAGGGGCGGACCCTAGGTCGGGGTACTGGGAGGTCTGGCCTGGTATTGAGGAGGTCACGGAGAGGACGTGACCTTGGCCTGACCTCGCCAAGCTCCTCGCCCCTTCCCCGCCCTGGAATGCACTTCGGTGCACTGCTCCCACCGCGGAGGTGGTTCGAAGTCGCCGCCCAGAGCACCGCGCTGTGGAGAGCACGCGGACCGCAAAGAGGACTAAACCCCGCGACGGCCTCCCTACGAACGAATGTTTAAGATTGGGACAGAATGGCGCAGGTCACAGCCCTCCACTCATCTTGCAGCGCCCCGGGAGGTAATGCCTGAGTGACTTGTGTTTCCTTGCCCATTAACCGCACTACCTACCCCACCCAGCACCTCGACCCGAGGGGGCGGCAAAGGCCTGAGGCTCCTATCGCCCGGCCTGACGCGACCACCCCCCAGCAGCGCAACAGGGAGGGCGCTATGCGTCCGCCAAAAAGAGCCTCGTGAAGGCGCGGGAACAGCGAGAATGATTACCTGGCACTTCGCCTGACTGGACGCTACTACAGAACCGTCGCCTCGCGCCCGCCCTCACTTGGCGCCAAAGCTCTCACTCCGCCCCTAAACCCCCCCAGGCCCACCCCTTCCGACCCTGGCCCCGCCTCCCACGCGCCCAGCGGCGCCTGGCCCCGGCCCGGCCCCGCCTCAGCCCCGCCCCAAGGCCTCTGGGCCCCGCCCCACTGCCGCCGCGTCTCCCGGGCGACGCCGCGGCCCCGCCCCGCCCTGCGATGGCGCCCGAGGAGAGCGCGGAAGCCGCGTGCCTGCTGCCGAATTTCGAGCGCCGCTTCCTGGCGGCGCGCGCGCTGTGCTCCTTCCCCTGGCAGGTGGGAGGTGGGGCGCGCGAAGGGCAGGCGGGGGGCGGCTGGGGCAGGGTGGGGGCGGGGCGGGTCCCGGCGCCCACCCTCTTCTCCCCCACCACGTGATCTTCTCGGCTCCCTCGTGTGCTGGGGCCTTCCGTGTGGTCCGTGTCCCCGGGGGTAGGTGGCTACGCCGGGGGCCGCACGGGCTGGCGGCGGGGAGCAGGAGGCAAACCTGCGCGCCCTAGGGCGGCGCAGCCTGCCATCTGCTCCCTCCTCCCCTGGCCCTTTACGCCCTTTGCAGACTGAGTCCACGAATTTAAGGAATGCGGGGTTTCCTCCCAACTCCCTTTGTCACTCGGGGGTAGGGTCAGGGACAATTCACGATCAATTTTATTACTTTGTTTAGTCGGTTGTCATTCTGGCCATTGGGTAACAGTTGCTGCTCCCCAACAGTCAGCGTCCTCAGGACAGAGGGAGACCACGTTGCAATAAGCGCAATGACCAAGTCACAGACACCACACCTCCCCTCCCCCGCCAGGCCTCGGTGTTCTCTGTACCATCAACACTGGACAAAATCCTCCCAGAGGCAGCTTGAGGCTCTTATGCCTGTGATGGAAGAGACAGGGAGGTACAAAACAGGCCAGAAGAGAGAGGAAAGAAGTCTTACCCCCTCCTCGCCCCCCCCCCCATCTGCCCTTCTCACACAGGCAAAGGCAGCAACTACATTCTGCCAATGCAGGGGCTCTAATGATGCTGCTTCCTTCATAATTCATGTGCAGTGAGCTCACTGGGATGACTCAGATTGGGTACATATTCCTCTCCCCAAGTCAGCCCCATCATATGGGGCAGTGGTTAGTCATTTGTGTCTCATTGACGTAACCCATTTAGCATTCTGAGCGATCTTTCAGGTCAGAAAGGAATATGTACATTTTTTTAACCCAAGATGTAAACCTTTGTAACAGCATCTATGGGTCCCAATTCATTATCGACTATAAATGTTCACATGAAGTGAGTGCTTACTCTGTACCAGGCCCATAATAAATGCTTACTTAGGCAGGCCCACAACAGCCATGCAGTGGGTACTATTGCTACCATTCACGTTTGACCAGAAAGGTTTGATTAGAAAAGAAGTAACATGCATCCGTGGGGAGATCAGGCCTGGGAGCAAGCATGCCTGCTTTGAATCCTGGTGCAACCCCATACAAGTTGTGTGACCTTGAGCAAGTGACTGCATCTCTCTTGTACTTAGTTTTCTTATTAAGTGGGGGATATAATGATAGGGCTTGTCAGGATTACAGGAGTATAAAGCATCTGAGGCAGCGCCTAGCTCATGGTAAGTGAATGTAAGTGTTAGCTAGCATTTTTATTCCATCACCAAATATTTACTGAATGCCTTCCATGAGCCAGGCCCCAGGAGTCAGCAGCACACATTACAGATGAGGCCCTGGTTGGATGCAGGAGCCAGAGAATAAACAGGCAAATGAATAAGCAAGAACACACCAGGAGATGACAGTGGCTGGAAAGTCAGTAAAACAGGGAACTGTATGTATCAAAGTAGAGGAGTCAAAAAGGCCTCCCCCAAGAGGTGACATTTGAGCCAGAACCTGAACAGTAAAGCAGCCAGCTGTGGCAAGGCCTTGCCAGTAAGAACAAGCTGCTGCAATTGAGGAATGGCAAGGAAGCCAAGGGTGGTGGCAGATAAGGTCAGAAAGAGAGGCCAGGGCCAGGGCTCATAGGCCTTTTAGAGCATGAAAGGTCACTCTAGAGAAATGAAGTGATTTGCCTGGTGTCGCACACCAGCCAGGACCAATCTGCTGGGCTGGAGCTCTCTGTCAGAGAGGATAGCATGGCCTGGCCTGGACTATATGTCCATTTTAACTCAGATGTTAACTCTAAAGTGAGCCCATCAGGTGTTGATATCATGCGTTACCTCCGCGCCCCCCAGTTCCTGGTTGACTATTTCAGCCACGGAGCTGGTCTGTGACCCAGGCAAGCCTAAGCAGCCAGGGTTAATGCAAACCAAGAGTCTGTCTTATGATGTTCTTTCTTTGACTTATCCAGGTGTAACCCAGGACTTCTCAAGTTCAGGCTTTCAGCCCGCCTGTGGCTTCCACTTCCAATTGGCCCCAGGTCCCTGGGGAGAGATCACTTAGTACTTTGCTAACATGTCTTATTACATGTTTAATGTTCCTGTGAAAATGCGCTTGAGATTTGTCTCTCTTTCCCCTACCCCCCCCCCCCCACGCTATCTCTCTCTCTCTGAATAGAGCCTAGAAGAGAAATTACGGGACTCATCAGGTCCTGAGCTGCTGCTGGATATTTTGCATAAGGTAAGAATCAGAATCACTGGGTCGCATCACCAGCCTCCTGACTTGCCCATGAAGACATGACAGAAGCACAGTGGGTGCACTTGTATCCTTTAAAAAGAAAGACACTGCATTTGGGTGGCAGCACCTCAGACAGCTCTGGCTCTTTTGTTTTCTTAGATGAAGACATCAGAATATACAAAAATCTGCATGAGAGGAGGGAATCTGGGGGATGTTTTTTAAACCATCCACAATGAAAACCAAGATGACAGCTGTGGGAACATCTAGCATTTGGTAGCTGCTCAAAGACTTTCTTCTTTACATTTAGGGAAAAAATAAGGAGGCGAGTCTTGCCCACTCATGTCTCTTCTAGATGTAGATGTGCCCTGCTTTTCTGAGGTGGGATTTGAATTCTAAGGTACACCTGGGTGAGAATAGAGGTGAGACCACCACACTGCCACGTGGATCAGGTGGAGATGACACTGCGTCCTGGCTCTGAACCCTCTTAAGGATCATGAACACTTCTGAAAACCCAAAGCAATGTACCATGCGCCCCCACAGAAAAAAGAATCAGAAGAATACATTTTGTGTACAAATTCAGGGAAGCCATAGACACCCCTCCAACCACCAAGCCCACCCAAGAAGCCTAGGTTAAGAATTCCTCTGAGGTGGGTGAAACAAGATGTCTGACCACCGCATGAAGAAGATGCAGCCATAGCTAGGGGAGCCTTGCAGGGCAATCCAGCGGTTCAGGATTGTGAGCTCAGAGATTCTGAGGTCCTTGTCAGGCAGCCCAGTCTGATTTTCACCCTGAAGCAAAAACCTAACACCTAACACCAGACAACTAGAAAGCCACTGAAGGGTTGTCTGGGTATTTTACCTTGGGTAAAATCATGTTCCTCTGGCCAGCAGGCCCCACATGACCCAGCTCGGGCTCTCACTGCCTCTGTTGCCCCACTCTCCTTCCCAAAATGCCAGGCCGTGGCCACCTCAGGGACTGCACAAACTATCCCCTCTGCCTGTAGTTCACTCCCCCTGCTCTTTGTGTCTCTAGACTTCAGCTGAAGTGTCACCCCTGAGGGCCCCCTTCCCCTCCACCACATCCCAAGCAGAGCCCCCATCTTCCTCTGTCCTGGCCATCACAGCCCTCATCCTCAGCCTGGCATGTGAGCTCCAGGAGAGCAAAAGCTCAATCTTCCTGTTCCCACTATTTAGGCTCTCACCTTTTCCATGGAGCCAGACAATTCCACAATTGTCCCCACTACAAACTAGTTCATGCTGCCTGCCTTGGGAAGGGGTAGTATAGCATAATGCCAGCTGCTATAACAAAATGCCATAGACTGGGTGACTTATCAACAACAGCAATTTATTTGTCACAGTTCTAGAGGCTGGAAAGGCCAAGATCAAGGTGCCTCCAGATTTGGCATCTGGTGGGGGCCCATTTCTTAGGTCATAGACAGCTGTGTCCTCACTGTGGAAGGGCCAAGGGAGGTCTCTGGGGACTCTTTAAGAAGGGCGCTAATCCCATTCATGGGGGCTTCACCTTCATGACCTCATCACTCCCAAAGGCCCTGCCCTCAGATACCATCACGTTAGGGGTTAGGCTTCAATGTGTGAACTGGACGGGGGGGGGGGGGGGGGGGGGGGGGGCACACATAAATCCAGTCTATAACAGGGTGTTAGCTTGGGTCCGTGTGCACCATGTTCTGCCCAGAATGTTCTGTCAGCCTGTGCCACTGTAGTGGACAGATTTTTTTTAGGAAAGGACTTATATACCGTAAGACTTAACTGTTGCAGATGCATGAGGGTCACCTGAACCCAGAATCCTTGTGTCTGTTCATATGTTTTCTGAGGGATTGGATAATGAGGGATGCCCCGTATTCACTTGAAGCTCATGGGAGTCTTAAGACAGGGTCTTTCCAGCAACCCACATTGTGTCCTTTGTCTCAGACCGTGAAACATCCTCTGTGTGTGACGCATCCGCCGTCAGTGAAGTATGCCCGGTGCTTTCTCTCGGAGCTCATCAGAAAGGTCAGTAACGGGCACTGCACATCTGGTAGCCAGACAGCACCTGGGACTTGGCTGTCTCTCCAGAAGTGGACCCTGCTTGGCTTTGCCTTTTGGAGCTTGGACCTATCCCATCCCCTTTGCCTGCTCTGCAAACACCCAGCCAGGTTCGGCCAGTGAGAGACTATGAAGGGCAAGTAGAAGCGAGGCCAGGGTATTTCTTCTGTGGTCTCAGCCTCCCCCACCGCCACTTCCCCAGCCCACCAGCCCACAGGGTTTTGAGCCGTTCCTACGTTTGCCAGTCTCTGGATTACCTCACTGCCCTCTATTGGGAGTTTTAGGTCTTGCAATACCTTTGTA